CCTCCTCCTCCCCTCCTCCTCCTCCTCCTCCTCCCCCTCCTCCTCCTCCTCCTCCTCCTCCTGATCCTATTCGCCAACCTTGTCCCTCCTCCCTCATCAGCTCGCCTGGGCGTCGTTTCTGGATGGGCTGGCGGGCGCGCGCGAAGCGTCGGGAATGTCGGTGGAGGGGCGCGGTGGCCGACGAGGAAGACTACGAGGAGGACTACGAGGAGGTCGACGGGGGGATGGAGAGGGCGACGAGGAGGATGTGGGCCGCTCGCTCCGTTTCCGATGAAGAAGAAGGCGAGGTCGGCGCGCCGCCTGCCCTTGTGCCGACGGCAACCTCGGCCCTCGGTCGAAGAATTACTCCTCGACGGGGCCGCGCAAGGTATGTTGATGCACATGAAACTCGAGGCCCTGAGGAAGTCGTACACCCCAACCTCCGATGGCCCTTCAGTCGTCGACGATCATCTCGCACGTGACCATCAGGCTGACCCTCACGCCGCGCCGAAGCGGCCGTTCAGATCCAACAAGGTTTGGGCCGTGCGAAGCTCGCGGCCCGCGTCTGTCAGGAAGGCCTCGGGGGGCACGAGGCCCAGGCCCTCAGAAGGCCCCGAGAGGGCGCACATGTGGCCCCGAGAGGTGGGGCGTCGTGGAGACCACGTTGCGCTCTCTCAGGCCCTCTAGGGGCCATGATGAGATGTCTTGGGCACTCCAGGGTATCTACCCTGGCTTAAGCCGCCCCGCTCGCTCCCGCCCGTCCTCCCAACGCACAAGTAGCACCTGTGCCAATGGTCCCCAGGGCCATGGGATCTCATGCAAGGGCCGATGGCCCTGGAGTCTAATAGCCCTAAGAGTCCTAAAAGCCCGACGCGCCCTGGGAACCCCGAGACTCTCAAGGGCCCCAAATGCCATAAGAGACCTATAGGAACCCTGAGAGCCGTAACTGCACAGAGAGCCCTGGGCGCCCAAAGAGTCCTTAGAGCCCCATGAGCTCTGCGAGCCCCAAGAGCCCTGAGGGCACCGAATGATCATAGGGGCCCCAATAGCCCGAAGAGTCGCAAGGCCCTCAGAGCCCGAAATGCACCAAGAGCAACCAACAGAGCCCTATGATACAATTGAGTCATCGGGGCCCTAAGAGCTCCAAGAAAAGCAACGCGAGCCATAAGAGCCCTAAGAGCCCTCAGAGCCCCGCGCGCCCTCGGTGCCCTAGGAGCCATAAGAGCCCTGAAAGCTCTGATAGCCCTGGGAGCCCTGAGACCCCAAGGCTCCTAAGCGCCCTAGGAGCCCTAAGATCCCTGAGAGCCCTAATGGCAAACGGAACTCTAAGAGCCCGAAGGGGCCTCAAGGGCCGTGCGATCCGTCGGGGCCCGATGAGCCCTATGCGCCCTACGAGCCCTAAGGGCCCTCAGATCCCGAATAGCCCGAAGATGCCGAACGCGACCACGACCACGACGACGGCGACGACGAGAACCCATAAGGAGGAAGAGGAGGGCGGAGGAGGAGGAGGGATGAGGGAGGATTGCCAAGTGCGTTATAGGCTCAAAGGGACTTTCAGTAGCCGTGGAGGCCTTGGCCTCGGCGGTCGTGCTCACGTAACGGATGGAGCTGCCGACGCCGTTCTGGACCTTCTCGATGTCCTGCGACATGCACTGCAGCTTGGCCTGGAACGCGTCCATGTCATCCTTGATGCTCTGGCGGAACTCAGGGAACAAGCGATGGCCCGCCACCCTGTTGATGGCCGTCAACGTCTCCGTCACCTTTTTCTCGATGCTGTCGGCCAATTTGCCATTCGCCGCCGCCACCTTGCGGCTCTCGACGGCGGCCTTCCTCTCCTGCTTGGCCCTCTCCTTCTCCTCCAGCGCCTTCTTGCGATCCTTCTCCTTCCTCGCCCGTTCCTTCTTCGCTGCCTTCTTTTTCTGCTTCTTCGCATTATTCGCCTTCTTATTTTTCTTGTTCTTCTTGTCGTCCGAGCTGCTGCTCGAGTCCGAGCTGGAGTCCGAGTCGTCGTCGTCCGAAGGCCCCTCATCAAACTCCTCGTCGGCGTCAGCAACCGTCGTCTTCTCGATCTTCTTGGAGGGGTGCGAGGCCTCGGCGACGTGGGGCCGCTCGGTGCCCCTGGCTCCACGATGGCCTCCAGACAGGATCGGGACGCGGTACGTTGCGCCCAAGACCCTGCGCTGCCTCTTGTCCTTCTCCAGGCTGTTGGCCTCGATGAGCGCGGCATCGAAGCCGCGCGTGCTCCACGCGCCTATAGGGAGGGGGGGGGGGAACTCCCCTCCCTCGGCGTAGTAGCCCTCGTGGTTCTCGTAGCTCCGCATGAGCTCCTTGACTTTGGCGACCGCCATCTTCCCGCTTGAGACGTCGCGCACGTCCTTGAAAAAGGCCTGCTGCGTCTCCTCGCACAGGCGCTTGAAGTCGCTGCTCGGGAACTCGCCGAACTCGCGGCTAAGCTGCGCGATGTGGACATTGCAGCGGTCGCACCTGTACTTCTGCTGCGACTTGCCCCTCAACCGGGCCCTGTCTGCAATTACCTCTTCGTTGCACCACCCGCGTCGCAACCGAACGTCATGCATGAACGTGGGGCGCGTGATCATCGTCGGCTCTGGGCGCATCTGGGCGGGCGGCTGCGGCGGCAACTCTGGGAAAGGCGCCCCCGGCGGGGGCTCCTCGGCGGCGGCGTCGCCATCGAGCGGCGGCGCGTCCTTGGGCGCCTCGGGAGGGGCGCCCGCTGCGTCGGGCGGGTCGTCGGCGCCCCGCGGCGCCATCATGCTCAAGACGGAGACGACTGCCTCCCTCGCCTTGGGCTTGGCCTTCGGCTTCGGCTTCGCCGTCGCCTTTGGCTTCGGTATTGGCTTCGCCTTTGGCCGCGCCCCAGCCTTCGCCGCCGCCGTGGGCATCGCCTCCGCCCTCGGCGGCGACGGCGGGCTTGGCGGCGGCACCGAGCCCGCCCCGTCCACCGCCTCAGCGGGCACAACTTGCGTCTCCTGGGGCGGCCGCGGCACACGCCGCAACTGCGGGCTGCTGGTCGGCGTCATGTCGGCGACGATGGCGTCGACCTCGTCGGCGTCGTCGGCGGCGTCGGGCGGGCTGCCTGTCAGCGCCGCCCCCGCCCTCCCCAGGGCCCGCTCCGTCGCTCGACATTGCGGGCAGGGGAAATCGTCGAACTGCATGTTGTGGACGTCGAGGTGCATGTCCACGCAGTAAGCGCGGTATTTGTGAAGGCAGCCGAGCGTCCGAACCTCCGTGCCGCCTAGCAACACTTGCAGGCAGATCGCGCACGTGGTGTCGTCGGCATCGCTAGCAGTGGCCATCTCGGTCTCCTGTCGCGCCGCGCGCGGGCGCGAGCCGCTCCCATGTAGGTGGCAACAGGCGAAGCGGAGGCGCCGCTCGAGCCAGCGGAAGACCGCTGGGGAGGAGGAACATGATTCGGAGGAGGGGGAGATGGGGGGGAAGAGGATGCCAGAAGGACGTGTCGGGCCGTTGCCAACGCGTTATCGCACTGTTACCGTGGCCGTTATCACCGTTATCAGGCGCGTTATCAAGGGCTGTGATAACAACCTGATAACATCTGATAATCGTTGCCAAGGATGTCTGATAACGCGAATGTGTCGCACTTCGTGTTATCAGCGTTATCAAGCGGCGTGATAACATGTTATCATCGTTACCACGCGCCTTATCAACATCTGATAACCGTTATCACGGTGTTATATGATAACATTGATAACAATGATAACGAGCGTGATAACACTGATAACAAGGCTGATAACGGGATGATAACATGATCATGCTGACGATGTGGCAGGAAAGGGCACCCAAGTGTTCGCCCGCGGGCGACAGCCCCCCCCCCACCCACCGCCTCTTCCTCTGGGCTTTCCTGGGGGCTCTTTGATTGGGCGCGCATTATGTTGTGCCCCGAACGCGGCTGGCTCTGCATGCATAGGCCCAGGCGCGATGCACACAGCCCCGACGGTGCGGGGCTCGCGTGCATCTTAGACTCGGTGCTTGCTCCTCCTCCTCACCCTCCTCCTTGTTCCCCTCATCCTCCTCGCCCCCCAGATCCTATCCAGTGCAAAGGCAGGCTGGGCGCGCAGCTCAACGCGCCCGCGATCAGCTGCACTTGGCATCCCACATCGCGGCTGCCGCGCCGTATGCATCATGCGAGTAGCCGTCGTCAGCTGCCCGCTTCTTGGCCCTGGAGTACATCCTCGATGCGAACGTGTTCTTGTTGACGCTCCCGTCCGAACCCGTCCGCGCAACGATGTCGGAAATGAGCGCCTGGACCTTGGGCTTGGACATGGGCGTCGTCGTCGCCGCGTCCTTGGGCTTGGCTTTCGGCTTCGCCGCCGTCTTCGCCTTTGGCCGTCCCGTGGCCTTCGGCGACGAACGCTGGTCCTCCACCTCCTCCTGCTCACCGTCCTCGTTCTCCTGCTCGCGCTCGTCGGCCGCCTGGCATGCCGCTGGGCGCTTCTTCGCCTGCTTCGTATTTTCTTATGCAGCATCATGTTCATGGCCTCCTCGGCCTGTGTCTTGATGTCCATCCTCAAGGGCCGCGCGAGCTCGACGGCTGGCTCAGCGGCCGGCGGCGCGCTCGCCGTTGCCGACGCCACGATCGGCTGCGACTGGGTCGGGGGCACCGCTGCCGACGCCACGATCGGCTGCGACTGGGTCGGGGGCGCCGCTGCCGACGCCGCGATCTGCTGCGGCCCCATCTGCTGACGATGTCACGTTGGGCGGACCAGCGCGCTGCGATCCCGCGGTCGGCGCCGCGGCCCGTGGAAAGCTCGCCAACGCATCGCTCGAGCCCGCGCGAGCCGCACCCGTCATGGCGAGAGCAGGGTGTCTACCATGCCGCCGATTCGCGCCGAACACCGTCAGGTTGTCCAAGAGATCGCCGCCCCCTGTCGGCGCCGCGCTCTGGCCCCCTCGCATGCTTCCCGCCGCCGCGCCGAAAGCCATCTGCATCATCTGCTGCATGTGCTGCACCTGCTGCTGCATGTGCTGCTCCATCTGGTTCGGAGGCGCCCTGGTGGCCAGCTCCTGCGACGCCGCGCCGCTGGCGCGGCCCGAGCAGGCGGGCGCGGCACCGCGGCGCCGATAGGATGCCTCCAAGTCTCGAAGGAGTCGCATGTCCAGGGGGCACGCGGCTGGGCCGCCCCCAGGCTTTGCCGAGAACGCGGCATGGTAGACCGTCGGGAACGACGCCAGGAGGTCCTGAGGCGTCTGCGGGAGCTCCAGCATATAGGCGCTCGGCCGCGGCGACTTCTCCGCCACGCGGTGGTGCGCCGTCTCGAAGTTGTCGTAGTACTTCTTCTTGTCGTGGTAGGACATGGTCTCGACCCGATCGGGCATTGTGATGAGCATGAAGGCCGAGTTAGCAAGCTTCAGCGAATACTCGTCCGCATGCACGCCCCCCAGGCGAATGATGCGCTGCACCAGCATGCTCTGAACTGCGCTCGGTGGAACCCCTTCCTCGAGCAGGCGGTCCCATCCTGCCGCTGTGACGTGGTTCATCAGGGCCAAGAAATTCTGGCTTTTCGCGCGCTGCCGCGCGGGGCCCATCGGCCCATGTGCACTGGGCGCCAGGGCCTGCAAGACGTTCAGGTCGCGGTGGCCGTGCCAGTTCACCTGGGAGACGAGGGCCGCTGCACTCGCCTTCTGGTCGTCAGAAAGACCTGCTTGCTCCCTCGCAACCAGGGTCTCCAAGGCGTTCGCCTGCACCTGCGATATGGGCTCGTGGCGAGGCGAGCCAGTCATGTCCTGCAGGGGAAGTCGCACGGCGCCAATGCGCGCCATCAGTGTCTGCGACATGGTCGCTGCTCTTGGGCCAGCGGACAAGCCTCTGCAGCGGTGGCACCGCTAGGGGAGGGGGGCGATGAGGATGGGGTCGGGAGAGGGGCGGGGGGGGGAAGGTGCGGATGGGGAAGGAGGACGAGACGGATTGGGGGCGGGGAGGGGGGCCAACGACCAGAGAGAACCCAGGATGCATCAGCGATGCTGCTATACACCCTTCCGTCACATGGCCCCTCCTCATAAGTCAATGTAAGCATCCCTTGTCACACCTGGCGATGCGGCGATGTCGCCCCATGCGCGCAATATGTTCTGTTTCGCCATAGCAGCGCACCATCATCGTCGTCATCGTCATCATCCTCATCAACATCCTCACCATCCTTCTCATCGTCCACATCGCCACCACCCCAATCATAATGAGTATAATCTTCTCCCTCGTCCTCCTCCGCATTTCTTTGACTCACGAGCGCTCGCTTTTTAATTTGCTGCGCCGAATCCCACTCGGTTGCATGGCCATGGAGCCTGAGCGGGCGACCATGGAGGAGCCCGCGCGATCGGCCGCTAGCAGTGGCAGAAGCCGGTCGAGAAGCCGATCGAGGAGCCGATCGAGTGCGCTGCTCGACCCGACCGATGAGCCGATCGAAAAGCCTGCGCCCGAGAAGCGGACGAAAAAGTTGTAGCAGATGTTCGACTGCATCGATGCAGTCGAACATCTGCTACAGCTTTTTCGTACACGAATCGGGCTTCGCACGACCTTCGAGAAACTGGTGCGCCCGATCATGCCAGACCACCCACCCGTCGGTTTGCGCCTGAAGAAGGTCAGCCTGATCAGACGATCTCGTATGCGACCATCGATGGTCACATACGAGATCGTCGAGGACTGGGAGTGATCGGGCCACTCTGATCTGTGAGATATCGGCCCGCAGCTCGGCCCTGCTAAACCCAACCACAGTGATCGGCCTGCAGTGCAAGCGCTGTTTGGGGGTCGGTGCAACCGTTGCCGTCGTCGTCGTCGTCGAGTCGTCGTCGTCGTCGTCGTCTGCCTGCCTCTTCTCCTATACATCCCCCTCGCCTCCTGCGCGTCCCCCTCCTCCCTCCCTGGCCTGGTAGCAGGGGAATTGGTGGCAGCAGAGCAGGGCGTTTTCGGACGAATGGCTTGAGACATCCTCACAATCGGAATACTCGCGCGTTTCGAATTGAACTCGCAATCGCAATATCCGTAGTTTCGAATATGACACCCTCGCGGAATATAAACTCAGCTGAAACGCAACATAGCGGGGAAGCCGCTGAAACAACACGCGGGAGCGGGGAAGCCGCGAAGTTTGCGGTGGGGGGGGATGGGGGCCGACGAGGGCGACGACGGCGACGACGACGACGGGGACAACGACAAAGACGAGGACGCCGAGGACAACAACGACGACGACGACGACGACGACGACAAGGACGACGAGGACGGGGATGCGAGTATTTCCCAACCATCCTGTGGTGTTGGGACCTCGTTTCGAAAAGACGGCGCCCCGCGTTCCTCCTCCTCTCCTCTCCTCTCCTTCCTCCTCCTCTCTCCCCTCCTCCTTCCTCCCACCATCATCTTCACCTCTCACGCGTTTCGTGGCCCCATACGGAGCTCGGGAGCTCCACCTATGGCCCCAGTGGCGCAGCCCGCATACGGTACGCGCCCCATTCTGGCACACCCCTCACACGCTTCGTGGCCCCATAGGGAGCTCCACCTTAGGCCGCAGCGACGCAGCCCGCGCGCGGTGCGCGCCAAATTTTGGCACACCTCTCACGCGCTTCGTGGCCCCATACGGAACTCCACCCAAGGTCCCAGTGGCGCAGCCCGCATGCGGTACGCGCCCAATTTTGGTACACCCCTCACACGTTTCGTGGCCCCGTAGGGAGCTCCACCTATGGTCCCAGTGGCGCA